GCACAAAAATGGAGCTCCCCACATTCTACTTTTCGAAAAATTATCAATTTGATTTTTCAAGATGACAAATTTTGAATGTTTATTGCTGTTAGTGATACACATGCTAGGTATGTTGAATTGTCAATAGGATGATGAGGCGGTCGTTGAAAAAAAAAAATCCCACGTCCTTGCACTCAAAGACGTTGAGAATGCTTCATACCGTTTTTTCAACACGAAAGGCGCACTGGATTATGAGGCGCACCATCAGGCGCCTATTTTGTCATTTTTTTCATATATTGGACGCACCGCATTATAAGACGCAACCTACAATGCATCCACTAGACGGAGCTACGCTGAAGGAAATGCCAACAGAACACTACACTACACCCTGATTCATATAGCGACGATCAAATGTCAGTAAAACTTATTTAATAAAGCAGCGACACAGTTCACTGAACCAACAGCAATTTATAACATTGACTCGTTAACGTTGAACTCTCCTGCTGCTCTATTTCCGTGTTCAACTGCGTAACCGATCGCCTTAGGTTTGAACTCTGCGTTGTAAGCATGTCTCTGGCAAGGAGCCATTTTGGGGTTGACATATTACCGTAATGACCATACACAAGGTGCATCGGATTTTAAGGCGTGCCGTGAGCTTTTAAGAAAATGGAAGGCTTTTCAGTGCGCCTTTTATTGCGGAAAATACAGTATACAAAGTATGACGTGCAAACTGGATTGGTAATGTTTATGGACACCGCGCGTGACTAATAGGGAACAAATGACTTCTAATTGTAATGAATTCTGCCATTTGAATTTCATTTGCCATGCCACTTACCTTCTGCAACATCTTCTGCCACACCTGCCTCCACAGGATGATGACGATGATGGCCACCAGGATGAAAATGATGGCCACCAGACAGCCGATCAGAATGCGCGTCGTGCTGTCGTCCACTTTATGAGTTGGGTCGTCCTCTGGGGAGGGAAACAGGGAGCGGTTTGAAGTAAAGCAGCGGAGAAACAGCACCTGCTAATCTTTTGAAGTGGAATTAATGACAAGTAGGCACGAACCTGAACCGTCAGCATTAATTCCTACACCTACAAATGCTAATGCTACATTTTACCAAAAATATCACTATTGAAATCTTTCCCAGCAATATAAGCAAATTGTGGGGCCATTGTGAAACTTCCTTATTCAAATTGAATTTCCTGTGCCTTTCTGTTGTTTGTATGTGTGAAATGACCATGAACAGTTGCGTTACGTGAGGGGAAAAATTAAATCCAGGCTTCGCACCTACGTCACAATGCACTATGAATACAACACCAGAGGTTGCCAACGGCAGGGTGCGTGAGACCTTAATGGATCTCATATGAACACACACACGCACGGGAAAAACAATAATGTCCTAAAAGCAAAAATGAACTTAAAACAAATAAGTTGCCAACAGAAAAATGTGCAGTTAACTGACCAGGCTGGATGATGGGTGGAAGTCCTGCCTTGGGAGGAGTCAGCGTTGTGTTATACATGGCAGTGTCTGAAAAAGAATTCACGCTTCAGGTCATCTAAAGAGACTGTTTCGGTGCTGCTGTTTCGCTGAGCAACAGAACTCAACTTGGTTCAGCAGTTCTCGATTGCATGCTCACGTGTGTGCATTCATACGTTGAGATTTGTTTGAAACGAGACCAAGTACCTATATGAAGGAGGTGTTCATTTTTTGGCTGATTTGGAAGGGCCACTGTTTATGGAAATACGATATTAAAGATCTACATTGTACCTGACTGGAAGGTGATCTCGCTAAACAACAGCCAGACGTCTGCAAAGTAGAACTGGCACTTGATGGCGCTGGCCATATGGTTGGCCAACGGGACGGGGACAAAGCGCGCGCTGGGGTCCTCGTCGTCCACCGAGGGACTGAAGGCGAGCGGCGTGGCCTCCCAGTCTGACTCGGAGCGGAAGTAGCAGACCACGTGCTGGAAGGCCTTAACGTTGTAGGTGAACATGTTGTTGCAGTGAACCTGGAACCGGAAAAAAAACATCGTTATTACAATATCTTGTTACCATTGGTACCAGAACCGGCCCAAGGCATGAGCACCCCCCTCCAAAAATGTGTGTGTGTGTGTGTATCTACCTATCTATCTATCTATCTATCTATCTATAGCTATATCTATAGCTATAGATATATTTATAATATATAAAAAAACTACACTAAAATGGAGGTGTATAAAATATTGAGTCATAAATCTGCGCTGAGGTAATTTCTCTGCCACTAGGTGGCAATGGTGTTTTGATTTTTTTGGAAGTTGGTGACAGTAACAGTACATTTTTCTTTTCAAATTAGAAGTAAATTAACATGTGCATATGTATGACGGTGCTATCTATCTATCTATCTATCTATCTATCTATCTATCTATCTATCTATCTATCTATCAAATAAAAACTCGTCCTTTTCATTTCAACATAGTTTCTTGGCACTACGATGCCACAAGATGGCGCTGAGTGACTACTTTTCTTTTTTTTTAATTTGAGACCTGAAAGAGCACAAATGTAGCGACGTCTCACCATCATTGTGGTGAAATTTCGTATGCGGTCAAACTCAAACATGATCTCCACGTATCCGCCAGGGAAACTCTGATTGCTCCAACCCACGTAGTCGTAGCCGGGCCACACGTTGTACACGTGGCTCTCTGTGAAGTCGTCCAGTCCGCACACGCCATCCGTCAGCTGGCCCAAGCCCTCTGTCATACTGGGAACAGAGACAGGACAGAGGAAATGGAATAAGTACGCAGGTAGCTGGAAAATCCAACCCACGGTATAATCAAATGAAACTACTCACCTGTATTGCATTATCATTATTAGCATGCGCTTTGTAGAGCTCATTTGTGTTTGTAACTGTTATGTTTTGCTTTATTCCCCCAGGTGGTTCTCGCTGTTTTTGTACTTTTTTTTCTTCCCAAGGTGACACAGGCAGGAGTTGCGCAAGGAGATACGCATCTAGCAGTTGGCGATCAGTTCCGAGTTATGAGCCGTGCGGCCACCCAAGAAAAGGCGCCAGATCATTCCTTTGTCTTCGACGTTTGTTGTGCTGAATTCTGTGTGTTTAGTTGGATTTTTATTTATTTATTTATTTTTTGCGCTTTTTGTTTCTCCCAGTGAGTTTTTGTATATTACTGGGCATCCTCCTTGCTCTACTCTCTCTTATTTTAGACAGTTTGTTTGAACTCGATTGCTAATCTCTGTGCTTATTCGTCGTACCTTACATTTATTCGTCTTTTCTTTGTATTTTGAACTTTCCCTATTCATCAGGAGCACCTTTTAGTCCTTTAGCTTGTTTTTTTTGTTCATTTTCCTACTTTTTAATAGCACCTGAGCAGTTTTAAATGTTCTACTTTGTGTGAACCAACCATGTCTACTTCTGTGTAGCCCCTTTTTGTTTTAATTTATTTGGGATAAAGACTTTACGCAAATCCTTCTACACTCTGCTTTGGGGTCCCGCCAGTATCAAACCATGACAAAAATTAATCATTTGTTGCGTTGTTAACTTATATTTTTTCATGAATATAACACGGTCCCTCCCAGAACTGAAACGTCATTAATTCGAACTGAGGTTCCTTTGCCCTGATTTGAACGTGAGTGATTGTTACCACCACTAGGAGGCAGCATTGTGGCAAGCATTTGCAATTCAACTCATCGACGTGAAACTTGACGCAGGCCTGTGTCATGGAGGACATTATTCATTCACAATGCCATAATGCAAACACTAATAATGTCATTCCTTCACGGGCTGACTCAGTCGTTCCCAGGATTGTTTTTGCCACCTGGAACCCTCTCTCCACTGTCTCTTTGCTGTCACCACGGCAACCGGGTGACAACAACAACAAAGGGACAATGAGGAAAAGTTTCAGGCTTTGGCCAACGAGAGGACACACACACACACACACACACACACAAACCAACCTACAATGCATCCACTAGACGGAGCTACGCTGAAGGAAATGCCAACAGAACACTACACTACACCCTGATTCATATAGCGACGATCAAATGTCAGTAAAACTTATTTAATAAAGCAGCGACACAGTTCACTGAACCAACAGCAATTTATAACATTGACTCGTTAACGTTGAACTCTCCTGCTGCTCTATTTCCGTGTTCAACTGCGTAACCGATCGCCTTAGGTTTGAACTCTGCGTTGTAAGCATGTCTCTGGCAAGGAGCCATTTTGGGGTTGACATATTACCGTAATGACCATACACAAGGTGCATCGGATTTTAAGGCGTGCCGTGAGCTTTTAAGAAAATGGAAGGCTTTTCAGTGCGCCTTTTATTGCGGAAAATACAGTATACAAAGTATGACGTGCAAACTGGATTGGTAATGTTTATGGACACCGCGCGTGACTAATAGGGAACAAATGACTTCTAATTGTAATGAATTCTGCCATTTGAATTTCATTTGCCATGCCACTTACCTTCTGCAACATCTTCTGCCACACCTGCCTCCACAGGATGATGACGATGATGGCCACCAGGATGAAAATGATGGCCACCAGACAGCCGATCAGAATGCGCGTCGTGCTGTCGTCCACTTTATGAGTTGGGTCGTCCTCTGGGGAGGGAAACAGGGAGCGGTTTGAAGTAAAGCAGCGGAGAAACAGCACCTGCTAATCTTTTGAAGTGGAATTAATGACAAGTAGGCACGAACCTGAACCGTCAGCATTAATTCCTACACCTACAAATGCTAATGCTACATTTTACCAAAAATATCACTATTGAAATCTTTCCCAGCAATATAAGCAAATTGTGGGGCCATTGTGAAACTTCCTTATTCAAATTGAATTTCCTGTGCCTTTCTGTTGTTTGTATGTGTGAAATGACCATGAACAGTTGCGTTACGTGAGGGGAAAAATTAAATCCAGGCTTCGCACCTACGTCACAATGCACTATGAATACAACACCAGAGGTTGCCAACGGCAGGGTGCGTGAGACCTTAATGGATCTCATATGAACACACACACGCACGGGAAAAACAATAATGTCCTAAAAGCAAAAATGAACTTAAAACAAATAAGTTGCCAACAGAAAAATGTGCAGTTAACTGACCAGGCTGGATGATGGGTGGAAGTCCTGCCTTGGGAGGAGTCAGCGTTGTGTTATACATGGCAGTGTCTGAAAAAGAATTCACGCTTCAGGTCATCTAAAGAGACTGTTTCGGTGCTGCTGTTTCGCTGAGCAACAGAACTCAACTTGGTTCAGCAGTTCTCGATTGCATGCTCACGTGTGTGCATTCATACGTTGAGATTTGTTTGAAACGAGACCAAGTACCTATATGAAGGAGGTGTTCATTTTTTGGCTGATTTGGAAGGGCCACTGTTTATGGAAATACGATATTAAAGATCTACATTGTACCTGACTGGAAGGTGATCTCGCTAAACAACAGCCAGACGTCTGCAAAGTAGAACTGGCACTTGATGGCGCTGGCCATATGGTTGGCCAACGGGACGGGGACAAAGCGCGCGCTGGGGTCCTCGTCGTCCACCGAGGGACTGAAGGCGAGCGGCGTGGCCTCCCAGTCTGACTCGGAGCGGAAGTAGCAGACCACGTGCTGGAAGGCCTTAACGTTGTAGGTGAACATGTTGTTGCAGTGAACCTGGAACCGGAAAAAAAACATCGTTATTACAATATCTTGTTACCATTGGTACCAGAACCGGCCCAAGGCATGAGCACCCCCCTCCAAAAATGTGTGTGTGTGTGTGTATCTACCTATCTATCTATCTATCTATCTATCTATAGCTATATCTATAGCTATAGATATATTTATAATATATAAAAAAACTACACTAAAATGGAGGTGTATAAAATATTGAGTCATAAATCTGCGCTGAGGTAATTTCTCTGCCACTAGGTGGCAATGGTGTTTTGATTTTTTTGGAAGTTGGTGACAGTAACAGTACATTTTTCTTTTCAATATATAAGTAAGTGCACATGTGCAAATGTACTATCTATCTATCTATCTATCTATCTATCTATCTATCTATCAAATAAAAACTCGTCCTTTTCATTTCAACATAGTTTCTTGGCACTACGATGCCACAAGATGGCGCTGAGTGACTACTTTTCTTTTTTTTTAATTTGAGACCTGAAAGAGCACAAATGTAGCGACGTCTCACCATCATTGTGGTGAAATTTCGTATGCGGTCAAACTCAAACATGATCTCCACGTATCCGCCAGGGAAACTCTGATTGCTCCAACCCACGTAGTCGTAGCCGGGCCACACGTTGTACACGTGGCTCTCTGTGAAGTCGTCCAGTCCGCACACGCCATCCGTCAGCTGGCCCAAGCCCTCTGTCATACTGGGAACAGAGACAGGACAGAGGAAATGGAATAAGTACGCAGGTAGCTGGAAAATCCAACCCACGGTATAATCAAATGAAACTACTCACCTGTATTGCATTATCATTATTAGCATGCGCTTTGTAGAGCTCATTTGTGTTTGTAACTGTTATGTTTTGCTTTATTCCCCCAGGTGGTTCTCGCTGTTTTTGTACTTTTTTTTCTTCCCAAGGTGACACAGGCAGGAGTTGCGCAAGGAGATACGCATCTAGCAGTTGGCGATCAGTTCCGAGTTATGAGCCGTGCGGCCACCCAAGAAAAGGCGCCAGATCATTCCTTTGTCTTCGACGTTTGTTGTGCTGAATTCTGTGTGTTTAGTTGGATTTTTATTTATTTATTTATTTTTTGCGCTTTTTGTTTCTCCCAGTGAGTTTTTGTATATTACTGGGCATCCTCCTTGCTCTACTCTCTCTTATTTTAGACAGTTTGTTTGAACTCGATTGCTAATCTCTGTGCTTATTCGTCGTACCTTACATTTATTCGTCTTTTCTTTGTATTTTGAACTTTCCCTATTCATCAGGAGCACCTTTTAGTCCTTTAGCTTGTTTTTTTTGTTCATTTTCCTACTTTTTAATAGCACCTGAGCAGTTTTAAATGTTCTACTTTGTGTGAACCAACCATGTCTACTTCTGTGTAGCCCCTTTTTGTTTTAATTTATTTGGGATAAAGACTTTACGCAAATCCTTCTACACTCTGCTTTGGGGTCCCGCCAGTATCAAACCATGACAAAAATTAATCATTTGTTGCGTTGTTAACTTATATTTTTTCATGAATATAACACGGTCCCTCCCAGAACTGAAACGTCATTAATTCGAACTGAGGTTCCTTTGCCCTGATTTGAACGTGAGTGATTGTTACCACCACTAGGAGGCAGCATTGTGGCAAGCATTTGCAATTCAACTCATCGACGTGAAACTTGACGCAGGCCTGTGTCATGGAGGACATTATTCATTCACAATGCCATAATGCAAACACTAATAATGTCATTCCTTCACGGGCTGACTCAGTCGTTCCCAGGATTGTTTTTGCCACCTGGAACCCTCTCTCCACTGTCTCTTTGCTGTCACCACGGCAACCGGGTGACAACAACAACAAAGGGACAATGAGGAAAAGTTTCAGGCTTTGGCCAACGAGAGGACACACACACACACACACACACACACACACACACACACACACACACACACACACACACACACACACACACACACACATGTAGGTGATCTCCCTACCACACAAGCAGCATGAATCATGTTTGTTTAATTGACAGTGTTCCAGTCATCCAAACAAACATGTTGCAGTCAAACGTTTGCGTGTTAACGCACAATGTAAACTTAGTGAATGTCGAAAAGCAGATTTCAAATGTCAATATTTCATCGTGAACAGTGAGTGATACTACTGAAAAAGTTGCTGATGACTCACCCGATAAGATCGGTAAATTTGTTATTTCAGGAGAGGACTGAGACCGTGGAAATATTTAAAAAGGCTTGCAAATCAGTTAAGACAGAAATGAAAGGAAAAGCTATTAATCCTTTCCAATTACCCAAAAGCGGCAGACAAAGATTTTTGTAATGTTTTTTTTTTTTAAATTGGAAAAATGGCAGTCTAATATTGGACCTTATAAAAACATACAACAATGACATAATTCAACTTCCTTTGCCACATTTTGCTTGAATTCAATGAACATTGTGTTGCTCCTTCTGGTATAAACAGATTAGCCATCTGGGGGCAGTACAGTAAGTAAAACGATGCAGAGACTCACTCAAAGAAGTGTTTCACAACTGACTCAGTAAATGTCTGTATATTCGTGTGTGTATTGCTCTCTTGTCGGTCTACATATATTGCTCCGCCTTTTGTGTTTACACATCCTTTGTTGGAAACACACACCCACACACACACACACACACACACACACACACACACACACACACACACACACACACACACACACACTGACCTGTAGATGATGGCTCCATCGTAGACAGAGTCATTGAGGTAGACGACATGCTCAGGTATATTCATCTGCTGGCCCGCCGGGGCGTTGTATGACACCAAACCATCTGTCAATCAAAGATGATCATCAACTTCCTGGCAGACACATGATTAGGAACGCCTTGTGTCTATTATGCAGTGAGAAAGTTGAAGGGGGTTCAATGCTTCATTACTTGCTTTCTGGCAACTCTGATGCTTGCGGTTTCGGTTGTTTCCTCTTACCCAGCCATTCGCAGCCGTACAGCTCCACCCTCATGCAGACATTCATGGAGTGGTCTGTGACGGGCATGAAGCGTACGAATCGAGCGACGACGGGGGGCTCGAGGTCTTTCAGCACGATGTCGTAGGCGTTCCTGTTCCCCTCAATCACCTTTGTACGACAAACACACAGATGTCATTCCCGTCGCGATTATGAATCAGGGGCTTTAAATTTGTTTTTGTTGCGGGCTACGCTGTACCATCATTAAATCACTATGCTTAATCACTGTGCTTTAAATCTCACCTGCTTGCCCTGCCGGTTTCTCCACGAGATCCAGCGACTGCCATCGCGGCTGTACTTGATCTTGTACATCTGGGCGAACTCGTTCCCGATGCCGCCGGCGTGGCGACCCTGGGTGCCCACCAGGGTGATGAAGTGGAGTGAGCGCAAGTCAATCTGCAGGAACTCCTTCAGGTTGTCCGGCTCCACCGTGATCTCTGGACACCAGGCGCCATCGCCCTCTTCGAAGTTCAATCTCGGAGGCCCATGTCAGTGTTAAACTTAACAATTATGTTAGACTAAACAACAGTTCAAAAACAGCCCAAATTTCCTAGAAGAGGGGGAACAATAGGATGGAGTAGATGTGTGTGGTCGGTTCCACTTGTTCCACAATAATTGCATTATCCTCTTTTTTTAATCTCCAACATGTGTTGCTTAAAATGTACAATCATACAAAAAAAATGTACAGCATGTGCATATCTATCAGTTCAACAGGAAGCTTTGCAGGAAACGATCCTGACCCTCCGAATCGGGTGTGTTGGAGGAAGATAACATCTAAAACGGGTGCCCAATCTTTTTTGACCGAAGACCGACTTTTGACGCAACCAACCTCCCGCAATCGACCCGATCGCGAGCGTTGTAGCATACACACACGCGCACACGCGGGTGCGCAACCATGCTAACGCGCGCATATGCACACATGCACACCACGATGAGCAACAGCCATAACGGCCCCGAAAATGAACGAAACCGAAACCTACAGACAGACATCCGGGGGTGGATGGATGGATAAGTGAAGGACTTTCATGTTAAGCGGGTGTGCTCCATCCCCAGGGTGGTGTATTTGTGAGACAACCTACCTGCCATATCGAGCAGCGGTGGATTCGGACCATTGGCTGGAGGCGGAGATGTCCTCATCCTGAATCTGTCCTCCAGACATTCCCAAGGGGTACCGACACACACCTAAGGGACACACACACACACACACACACACACACACACACACACACACACACACACACACACACACACACACACGCGC